CCACATGAAACACAAATTCTCCTAAAGCCCACATGCCAGGGAGGAATATTTTCAAAGTCTGAGCCATCACACAGAATGATATCACATTGCTTATACAATCACTTTAAAACTGGTAGTACACAAAGCTATAAATAGTAATAACAATCTAAAGATGGTGTGTAGATACAATTAATGGTTAATTTATTCTAAATTGCATTTACCACATCATTAAGTAAAACTTTTGTCAATATGGCAGTTATTTGTGAAATAATCTGTCAAACAAATTGCATTCAATTTGTGCTTCTAATCAGCCAGTTACATAATGCAATGTGAAGAGGTCAACTGGAACTATATCATATATATACTATATCATCAGAACAGAGATTAGTCACAATTAGGTACCTAATCCATGTTATCTCTTTATGTTACCGCTACTGCTATTCTTTTAAATGCTAAAGGACAACGAAATGTATACAGGAAAGCTTCCTTAGCTTTCTCTGGGGACAAATTATTGTAATATTTGCTCGTGCTCAAAAAGTCAAAGGATTTGCACTTTGCGTTATCCATTTGTTTAAAGGGAGGTTGTTTGCGATCTAAATATAAACTTCAGCGGTTGCATTCTCTATTAATCGACTCATACTTGAGTCCCTTTATGTGATAAACATGCACAGCTAATAATCAATGATATGGCAACTGTGTGTACAGAACAAATAAGAAAAGAAAAGCATATTCTCTGTCTGTACTTACATATGCCAAGCGGAATACAAAGAGCAAATGTGTGCTTTAAAGCTGGAGTCCTTAAAGGTGATTTGTATTAATTTTTGACACACTGCTATTACACAATAAAATAACCTTTCCTCTTGTTACTAAAATGCCCTTGGCACCGTACCTGTTTAGTCCAGCATATACACTTATTACAAACATTTGTTCTCAATCCTGGAATTCACTTTCTCAAAGCTTGGGATTTATGGAGGATGGAAATTACTTCCTTTTTTATTTTCTTAACTTGGGGGGGTGGGGGGTGTCCCTTCTGCATAAACCCTTGTCATTCTTTCCGTTTTCATCATCTGCATCGCCCAGGGGAGTTGGGAAGCTACAAGGTAAGAGATTCTCACTCTTCCTGCTCAGCCTGCACTGAAAGCGCAGTTTGGCCCTTACGCCACTCGGTACCCGCTCCTTTCCAAAATCTCAGAGCACTCAGGATCCTCTCAACAGTGAGAAAAAGCTCCTTATCCCACGAGCAAACCGAAAAAACTCCTGTGGCTTTTCCTGAGTGAAGAAGTAGCGTGCGAGGGGACCAGGGACCCAGCAGGTCAAAAACCTGCACCATATCTTCCAAAGCTTATGATGCCTTTTGCTATTTTCACCCCAATTCAGTGAAAAAGTCTGACATTTCCTATTTTCAAAGGAATCTTTGGCGAGAGGTATCCCACCTTTCAAGCTCCACCCTGCAATCCCAAACGCCACTCTATTATTTCAAAACACAAAACCACCGGTTTGCACCTCTTTTGCTTTCTCCTCGGCTTCCATACACAAGAGTCGATATGCAAAGGTTTGGCTTTCTCTTCCGTACGCACATTTTTCCTGGTTGGGTTTATGACACGACGAGGCTGCAGCGGGCAAACCTGTGCCTCTGCCAGGAACCGCATCTGCACAAGCGGCTCTGCCACGCACCCGATGCCGGGTGGGTGAAGTCTGGGAGGAACCCGCAGCGCACACACATCTATCTCAGCTGTTCCTGGTTTACTGGAACAATTCAATGTCATCCTTAAGGAACTACAGTAGCTATAGGATTTATACCGGAATAACGTATATTAAACATTTGCAGATTTTGAGCGCTACAGGACCTTTACCCGGTCCTCCTGGAGTGGAGCCTACTTCATACCAGAGGAAAACGTCAAGTCCCCGTAACCTCTCATTTTCCCCTGTATTTTCACCACCTACCTTCCTCGTTTGAGTGATAACATGCTGAGTCTGAATAGCTCATCAAGACAATTAAGCCGACTCTAGGTACGAGGAGTTCAGCATCCCCCCGCCCGACTCTCCCACCATGAACCTTTCCCCAACAGCTCCCCTCCACCTCAGGTTACCCATTTCAGAGGCTGACTACGTCTCACTTTTTTGAAAGCCAGCCTTTTCTCTGCTTACAGCCCCCCGGCACCCGGCAGGGCCTGTTCTTCTCATTTATTTTTCCGAACGGCAGGCTAGCCGTAGGATAGTAATAATAATAATAATAATAATAGTGATGATGCAGTGGAAGCTACGCCCGTCCCCTGGACCCAGGGCAGCGGTTGCAGCAGCGGCAGCCCCGCCGCAGAAGCAAGCAGGACGCGATCTCTTCTTCTGCAGCGCCCTAATGAAGAGCCAGGCAGGCTTGATGAGACCTCGAGGACCTGAGCATACCAAAACTGGATTTTAATGCAGTCGTGGTGCCTGCATTGCAGCCGCCGGCAGCACACGACGGTTGCCGCAGCCAATGATGGCCCTCCCAGCGTTTACCAGCCGCATTTTAGCCAGCCTGGCTCCCTCTCTGCCCTCTCGCCGTCCTCCGCGCTCGAGGCGATAAAGCAAAGAGCGCAGGGGGAGCCTTACAGCGAGGCGTAACGGAGTCGCGCCGCGGTGTACCCCTATTCTCCAAGGGAAATCTTGAAAGAACAACTATAGTCCCCCTACATGTCGGCCTGGCTGAAAACAGGTTTAAATATAACATTGTTTTTAAAATCCATCTACACGCGGGAAAATACAAAGACGCTGCCGCCAGCGAAAAATCAGCTGAGGCGGAGGAATCGCGCTATTTCGGCGCCGCTCCTGAGGACGAAGCCGGCTCCCCTGC